TTCTGTCTTATGCAGTATTTCCCATGAAAACTGTTTTCTCGCTGTTTCTTTTTGTATTTTCCTTTCTTCTTAAGGAGAGACTCTTACTTTAGGGATTCTCTTTTAAAAATCAGTGCTCAGCAGTTGCTTTCATTGCCTCATAAAGGCACCTTTCAGGTATATTACTCTCTATTGCATCTGATTGTCTGTTGAGCATTGTGAGGTTCAGGCTCCTACACCATCAGCCCAAGATTAAATATTTAACCTTCTTTCACCTAAAAACAGTATTGTAAGGAACTGATGCACAGTGAACATGACATAGCATTCTCATGTTTTCTCCACAATCCTAACAAGTTACTTCTTCTCCTTGACCATCACCATCTCTTCATGGCCATGGTCATTTAATTTTTCTATTGTGACCATATCTTACCTTCTCCCACTTTACTCACTGACAGTACCTTCTGATAAATCTCTATTTAACTTCCCAGGATGGAGGTTACACAGCATCAGTCCCAAACAGTAACTGAGAATGTAGGAAAAGTGAAAATTTGACTTAAGCATAGATGTTGATCCAAAGACTTATCTTGCTCAATTATTTGGGTAGGACTCTGAATCCAAGACAAATCACTGCAGATGAAAAGTTGGCAAGACTCCAGACTAAGAAAAATGGGAGATTTAACAACAACGGAGAGAATAATACACAAAAATCAGGAAGACTTGGACACAAGGCAGGTAAGGAAGCAGTTTGTTTTGGAATACTGCTTCATCTCTACTCATACAGGTAAGACATAGCAAATGACTACTTTAATTTTTTTCTTTGAGATACAGGTCCAGTGATACAATTGGTGGTTGGATCTGCTTTAGTGCAGCAAATTTACACATATCTGAAAGTATTGTAACAAAAGAATAAATAGTGAAAACATATTCTTCCAGTCCTATGTTCATCATTTGCAGTGTCTCTGTCCAGTAACGTGGGGCTTCTATTCCAGATGAAAACTCAAGATTTTCTTGAAACAGCAACTAACACTTTTTCATAATTTCCTCAAACTTTTTTCCTATTTGAGGCAGATAATTTACTTTCAGACTGATCCAGAATTGCTGGGTTTCTTTGGTGACACCTGAGTACCTGAAGACCCTCTCAAGATTATAGCATCCTTAACAGCATCAAAGTGAATCACAGAGGTAACCCAAAGTTACCGAAACATTTCTGAAGTATTTCAGAACTTTCAAATGCATTATTTAGATTATCCTTAAGTAATTTACTAAGAAGGACATGTGTGTACATGTGCTGGTCTGCACAGGTACAAGCTGAGAGGACCAAGGTTGAGGCCCAGAGAAAACTTAAAGACCAGGTCAACTTTTACCTTTGAATATCTTCCATAATATTTGGAATATTTGTTACATAGAAAGTTATCAGAAATCTCAAAGGGGGAAGATAAAATACAAGTTGTTTTCTGACTTTTTAAATAGCAAACAAAATTATGACCATTTTATTTTCAATATTATAGTCTGTTAAAATCACCAAGGTTAGGGGTTTAGATGACATAGATCCACCCACAGTTAGCCTTAGGAACACATTTCTTATTCAAGCTCAGAAATGTTCCTGCATATTAAGATGTCAGAGGTCATCATTGTTTATGCACTGGCTGCTTTCCATAATAATCAGGTCCTTGTTCACTGTAGTAGAGATGAGACTAATGCCATGTTTTTCAGACATGTTCCTCCTCATAAACTGTGATTAGCTCTCCACAGCACAAGACCGTGCCCTATCAAATCACAGCATGAAAATTAGTTATTGAAGTCTGTATACAAACAAGAAATACAATGAAATTTTGTTTCTACTCTCAATAGTCTTTCCAACTCCACAGACATTTAATGTGCCCAGCATTTTTTAAACTATACTATTTATCACTGATACTTTCTGCTCAGATCCTTTTGGTTTATGCTTACACAACTCAGTTTATAGCACCAAAGCCTTACCTGAGTGGATGTCGATATCCTCATCACCAGTGCTCTCTGCACTTCTCAATTTATCACACTTACTGTTAGCAGCTATCAGTCTTAAATTCACAAGCACATGTAAAATGCAAGAGTTACTTAATCCCATATCACTTATATTTAAACAGTCATTTCACAAATCCTGAAGAATAATGGAATTGTTTCAGACTTGGAAAGAAATGTCAGGGTCCTTCCTGCATTGTTCGGCTAAGAAAAGGAAGAGATTAAGTCATCTTAAGTGTATTATTAAAGCTTTAACCTCCATTTTTTTTCCAAAGAAGTCAGTTATGAAAGCTGAAGTGTAACAACAATTTCAGACCATCAGGGAGGGCAGCATATTTGGTTGAGCATCTGTGGAAGGGGATAATGCAGCCTTGCCATAGCTAGAAAGCTTTTGTGCACAGAATGGCACGAAGGAAGGCATATTTTTAAGAAGCAACAGAGAATCCAGTATCCATGACCAAACATCTCCAATGACCTTAATGGCCTGAGCAAATAGTTTTAATTCCAGCCTAGCCCATAGGTTAGAGATTTTTGTCCAACGCATACCTGGTATACCAGTATGATACCAGAGGTGATGTCTTTTGCTGCTCTAACCATTCCATACCTTACCAGGATAAAATCTAACTACTCCATTTTGGGGTATGTGAGCCAGTTTTGGTTGTCCAGTTAGATGATGCTTTCTATTGCTGTAGTTTCTGAAATCAGCAAATGAGGAACCATAAAACAAACAAAAAATCCTTTTACCAAGGTCATCAAGGATATAGGGAGTAAAGAACACAGTATGTGTACAGAAATACTCCCTTTACTCCAAAGGGAGTAAAGAACACAGTATTTGTACAGAAGAGGGAATTTATTTTTTGAATGCTCTCAGACCTCTACAGTGCAAGAGAATTAAGGAGCTCAGCACTTTGCATTAACAGGCCCTAGAACGAGTAAATAGTTGCCAGTAAGAATAATAATAGTAACGTACAAACATACATACTTCACAGATGTGGAAAGGACCCGAGAGAACAAAGACCACACCATGCAGAAATGGTGAAAATACTGAGTGACCACTTTCTGTCTTGGAGGCATCTTTCTTCTTGCCCCCACGCTGCATTTGTATAAATATTATGTATTCATAGCTGAAAAAATCCATAGTCTGGGATGGAGAAAATAAGAGCAAGTCTAACACAATGCCTGTATAAAAATTAGATTTAATGAAGTACCTAGAGTGGATTTATTTCCTGATATTCTTCTGAGGTAATAAACCCATCTTCCTTAATACACTTGGAAACCAAACTGCAAAATGAAACCAGGAAATTTCTTGGCTGCCATCTACTGTTCAAAACTTTGCTGTATCACACGGAAGAATAAAAACAAACCAACCCAAACAGCACTCACTGACACCTCCAGATTTTCTTCTCTTCACTATTCTTGCTAAAAATGTCTTTGGACTGCTGTTACAGACCACTATATTTCTGTAAGGATCCTGCGTATATGCTTACCTTTTAGTTAGTATCAGGAAGAGGAAACATAAAAGCTGTTTTAGGGAAGAACACTGTAGTATTTTTAGTATTTCAGTGAAAAACTGTACTTGTTAAAGAAGTTTCTACTAATTCACTAGAGTTCACTAAAGTGTGATTTCAGTAAACAGCAGTAAGTCTAGGACAGAGACTGAAAACAAAGTGCAAGAAGGCTGTCTGCATTCCTGTTTCTCCAGGCTTTGTCTTCCTATCAGGGTAAACCCTACAATGTATTTGTTTCTCTCTGTCTCTTGAGAGCTACCTAGATCCCTTTGTCCTTTACAGCTCCTCTGCCTTATCTCCTGCCTCTTTGCTGCCCAAAAAAAGCTACTATGATTCTGCAGATCTGATGTATGACAGGCTGAAATGAAAATGGAATGTTTTTCTTTATGGTCGACCTATGAGATAACTTGAAAATTAGGTTTAAAAGATGTAGGATGATAGAGATTGTCACAGTTTATCACTAAAGCTGAAGGGACTATCATCACAAAAAAGGAGAACCAAGAGTTTACTGAGAGACCTTAGGTCTGCAAGGGCAAAAACATCTGAAAGTGGATTCCTGGGTCAGTTTCTGTCACTTACTTCCAGACTTCAGTCATATGGTTATAAATAGATGACTCATCCTAGCAAAATATACTGTGAGCCACTTAAGTCCTTCATCCAAGAGAGTCTTTCATCTAGTAACCTTCTCTTTACCATTTAGTCCAAACCCACTCACAGCAGGTCCAACAAGTTCAGGCTGTTCAGGTCCTGTCCTGTCAGGGTTTGAACAGAATGAAGATGGCAAACCTCTTCTGGACAACCAATTCCAGTATTTTACCACCCCCAAGAGCCAACACATCTCCTACTCATTCACCTGCTTTGCTGTGTTTAAAAATGAATTTCTAAGATCCCCACTCAGAAATTCACAATACTATGCATATTACATATATAAACATGCATACATATATAGCATAATGAAGCTGACCACATCCAGCTCGTTTCTAGGGAACAAACTGTTCCCTCTCACAAAAAGGTATCAGATGGTGAAATGGCTCCTCAAGGATGGTTGTAGAAAATGACAACTTCAAATATAACATGTATTAAAAAATTGAACCTTTGCAGAAAGGTACTAAGAGATGATCTAATTAATCACTTCAGCTTTCACAATGTCTTTTCTCTACTCTTTGGTTTCCTTTAGTATTTGTCAAAGTTTGGTGTGCTCTGCAAGGAGAGTAATACTGACTAGGAATCACCCTACTAGCAATCTGAAAGGTACAATACTCGGTGGCTGAGGAATGCAAGCAGGTCAGGGCTCATACTGTAATAAACAGAAGAAAATTAAAAAGAAGGAAAAGAAAATAAACAAAAGAACCCCCACACACACCCTGAGCACAATAAAAAGCAGCAACAGAAGTGCATTATGGTTCACGCACTGCACACCAAGTCATTTTGAAGTTTGTGGGCAGGGATGCAGCTATCTCTGTTCTGTATTTCCAGGGAGAGAATTTGGATGAAGTTGGTACTTCAGCCTACCTGGTTTAAAATGGGGTAAAGAGTGGACTCCAGGCCACGTATCTTCATTTGGTGTTCCAAGTACCTGTGCACAAAAGAAGAAAAAAACCACACTTTGCTTTAATGGAAAAGACTTAACAAGTAATAGCACTATAGAAAGCTACTTCTCATTGTATGCTCAATGTACCTTACAGTCTAAACTTTAAACAGGCTTCATAGTTGGGGGATGAGGAGGAGGAGTATGGTACAAAATGTTAAAATATCATAATAGTTGCAATGTACCAGTGCAGTAAAATAAGCCATTAAACTAGATAGGAGTGCTGTGTTCCTGTCAGATTGCCTATTTAACCAATAGATAAGTATCAAGCTATCTCAGAGCACTGGTGTTACAGAGGCTAGATAACTTAGCTCAGAAATAATTTCAATCCCTATAAACCCAAATAAGGTGAACAGATAACTAATAGATGCCAGGACAGAAGATTTACAAGATGGTGAAGGGAATAATCAAGAGTGTGGCATAACAAGAATGCACAGCAAACAGTTGTCATTTTCAAGTGCCTATAGTATACATAAAACCAGCAAATTCTCAGGAGATACAGACTTTATTGACTCATATGTTATGCATTGTTTCTATTCACTTCTACTGTCTTCCTTCTTGTAACGTTAGTCAGACCAACTCACAGCAGTAAAATACTTAACACTTCTCATATATGTCTTATATCCTCTGCTCACATGAAAAGTTCACCCTCAGTGTCTTTGGAACAAATAATAAGTAAGTTGAGAGAATTGCTACAATAGGTCTCCCAAATCTGGTTTTGCTTCATGACATATAACTGTCAATGTTTGCTTAAGCCAAGAGGAACACCTAAATTAGCACTTCTAGCAAAAAATTTCTGAATGAGCTCTGGGATTTGATATTTCACTAGTAAGATCTTTCTTTTCAGAATTTACACTCAATTTTGAACATGAATGAAAATGCTAGAAACTCCTTTGAATATTTGTTATAAACTCAGGCCCTGGAATAAAAGGGCCTGATATTCTAAAGTGAAAGCTATTCACATCAGTCTGGTGCTTGTTTTGCATTGTCATCAGTGTACAAAAGCCAGTCTCAGCCCTGCCCCTACTTGCATTGCAGGTCTTCTGAATAAATCTTTTGGACCTGCATATCTTGAATCCCTGTGACATTCTGTGGTCACTTACTTCAGCATAAAGCAAGCCCAAAATTATCATGATGGTCTTTGGTCCAAAAATGTGAAAAACAGCATCTACTCGAAATCACTGGAGCTGAAGAGATTTTTTTTTTAAAATTATGTCAGCTGCAATATACATATGAATTAACAATATTAGAGAAAGGAACATTCTAGAACTTGTTTCACTTCTTAAGCTATGCAAACATTTGTTCATGTTGATAAATTCAAGCTGAAAAGAATTCTTAGAAGCAAGACTAGGAAAGTAAAACACAAAAACTTTTTCTTCAACTCTGCCACAAATTTACTTCATAAATTTAGAAATGAACTTTAAAACTTGAGGTAAAACTAAGTGACCTCTAAAATAGATAAAATTTTTACCTATGAGGTGTGCTTTATGACTCTAAACTCTCAATTTTTTTAAGCAATTTACAATACTAATATGTTTATAATCTAAGAATATTAATACAAAGGTGTCACAGAAACAAAGATGAAGTATCAGTGCATCTAGAGAGTATATGTTCACGAAGTTATTTCTATGTGCAAATTCACTGGTTTTATTTGTAAATACTGTTTGTAGCACATTGCTTTCTGTCCTTGTGATATGTCTTAATTGGCATTTGAATAAGATAAACCTGACGCTGCAACCCTCATTCATCATAATGTTAATTTCATTTCTGCTATTAGAGAGAGCACAGTTCTGTCATTAAACATGGAAGAAGTTAAGAGACACCGTCAACATCACGTCCCTAAATCAATACACAAATAACTTCCACTTACCTTCTGCATTGATCAGGCTCCTGGTGCCAAGCACCTCCCAGACCAGGAGAGGGAGCCCGTGGATCAAAAACAGACATTCATTCTTGAATCAATTTAAATCTAGACATAAGGTCCTCAACTTTGCAACATAGCAAATCAAAGGAATATTCTCTCATCAATATAAGAAAATTAGCCACATCCTTCGAAATGTGTGTTCTTATTCACCTCTAGTTTTAGATGAGACAGAGGCAGCTAAGGAACTGTACAGATGAATATTAAAACCAGCTAATAAAATCTGAAACTTCCAGTGCAAGGTAGAATATTTATCAAGACCAATTTAACATAGAACTTGGAGCTAAGAAATAGATTCTTCTGATTTTAAAAGTAACATCAGGTCCAGTAACAGGGAGTTTGATGGGAAATAACTTCTTAAATGAACCATATGTGACTCACAATTTTTTGTTTAACTGGTTTTCCAATCCATTTCTTTAATAATATTCCAGCACAATTGCTGCTACAGTGTTTAAGAGACAGCTACAAACAAGTTCTGTGCCTTGGAGTACTCAAACCATCTACAATATTTATACATTCTCTCAAGCGTAGAAGTCAGGCCGAAAAGAACTAGGGGTCTTCTATTACCTAAATGCCAACCATTTTTAAGGCAGGGGCACTTGGTAGTTCAGGCAAGGATCCAAACACTATTTTAATGCATACCACAAACACTATAAAGATCATCCTTCTTCCATGTAATTTTTAACACACACAACGCAGAAATTCGCAATATGTGGCTATCAATCAACAAAGGAGGAGGAGAGGGCAGCACTGAAACAACTGTGATTTTGGATAAGATGAAACAGTCACTGCTCACAGGTATGTCAACATAAAGAGATTTGTAAGCATTGCCTTGTAAGTGATGCTTCTAAGCAGCAATCAATTCCCTTTTGATGAGGTGGGATTAAGCAATCCAAAGCAATGAGTTTTGACACCTGCTATAAACAAAGCAAAGCAGAGTTCACATATAACAGAACGGTGGAAAAAGATTTGTGGCTTACAAAAGAGAATTAAGGAACCAGTATGGAAAAGGGAAGTGGAGTAGAAAGGGAGAACCCAAGAGTCTTCTAGTTTTACTCAAAAATACTGTCACTTAGCAGTGAAGACTAGTTACCCAGACCAAACCACTGGCAACATCTTAGCATCTAACTGATCAAATGAGGGAGCAAACCACTGTGTACCCTGGCAGTGCTGGAGAGCAAGTGTGGTCTTACCAGTGGAAGTGGAAGATACAGGAGGCACAGCAGCCAGGGACAACAACCAGGAGCTGGTATTTCATGGGTGACCTTCTAGCCCCGACTATCTTATCATGGTCCACCACTTCTCATTCCAAGCCTGGCAGCATGAGTTCTGCCTCTTCTACATTTTAACACTTTTTCTTTCCATTTTATGTTCCAAACCCTAAAAATAACCACCACTGTCATGGCAATCAAGCCCCAACTTAATATTGGAAATAAGCTTTTATTTAGCATTGAGGATGATTTGAAAAAACAAGACTAACTTTGCTTTCTCTACTGATAATTTGCTTCTCAGTGAGGTAACCATTCAACTTGCATGGTTTAACATCCTATTTTTTAAAAATTGAGTTCCTAACACAAGAATAATCTACAATTCTTAAATTTGGAATGGATTCAGTGTTTTCCAGGGATCAGTGTGGTTATGGTTTCTTCAAAGAAAATTCAAAAACCTACTGGGATTCTGCTGTTCCACACTGCAGCCCACTCTGGGCTCTTTTATTCTCTTACAAACAAGATAAAATGACCTTCTCATTTGAAACTTGCTATTCAAAATCAGGATCAGATTCTAATTTTATTTGTAGGGTAAGAAGTCTATTTATATAAAAATAACAGATTTACAATACATCAGGGTACTGAGGGCCAAATACCTGTACTGCCAGTTGATATGGTTACAGTTTGACAGAATGATATGAAAACACAACATGCTGTTCAAATCTCCATACCAAGCATGATGTAGAAAACTTCCCAGCAAATGCAACACGAATGCACTGTGGGGTATTGCATTGCCTTAATTTTTTAATAGAAGAAAAAAGTTCGTGTTCTGCATCTGATTTGGCAAAGACTCATCATTCTCTGGTGTGCAAGGGAATAATTACTTTACGGTGAGCTTTACGCCACTTTACCAACACAATTAGTCATGTTGTCCTGTATTCTGCTTTGAAAGCAGAAACATCCCACATTACTGCCATGTCTTAGATGAGCAGCAGTGCAAATCTTTCCTAGCAGCTCTTTTCCAGTTGCTGACATAATTAATGAAGAACAGCATTCCCCTTTACACTACAAGTTTTGAATATACAAAGCTGCATATTACTGAAATAATGCTTTAACCCTTGTTAGATCTGATGATCCTCAAGAAAAGCGATGTTTCGGAGTTCAACAAGACAAAGAACATGCAGCCCATGGTATTATTCAGAGCAGAATGAAAAACAAGACCAGCATGCAAATGAGTTGCCTTTCCTTAGACAAGGTTTATGGAAATCAGGCTAAGCAATATGCGGAATTTTCAATTTTTTTAATGTTAGGTCAACTTGATGAGCAAACAAAGTTTAATAAAAAAGTGTCAGGAGAATGCATTTTTTTTCCTTTTAAAAAAAGAAGGTTTTGTTGAAAAATGCCCTGGAATTTTAACTAAGAGTTACAAGCTGGATGTAAAAAATGTTTGGATTTTTTTTTCATTTTTCCTTTTAAGGATGTTCAAGATTTCTGTTCTGGTCTTCCTTGTTGCTGCGTAAAACATATTGCATTTAGTGAATCCTTGGCTGTGATGTACCATGGGAGACAATAGCTGTCTCAGGAACTGAACTTAATCAAGAGGAAGAGAATAATCACTGCAGAGTCATTTCCAAATCAGCAATCTCTTTCTGTTGAGTGAGATTTGGAGGTTTCAAATGTTCAGTTTTTCAACAAAAATCTGTTCCATTCTTGCAAAGCACACATACCTAATGACTTAGTCAAAAACCTAGGACCTCTTTTCCTTTTCATTAGAGGAAAGTACATTACTGCTTTAGAAATGGCTCTTGAGAAGCAATATAAGTTCCAGGGTTTTTCTATGGCAGCTCCACCACTCTCAG